AAAAAAAAAAAGAATCAGTTGTATTTCTCTTTTTTTAATGTTTTATTTATTTTTGAGAGAGAGACAGAACAGGGGAGGGGCAGAGAGAGAGTGAGACACAGAATCTGAAGCAGGCTCCAGGCTCTGAGCTGTCAGCACAGAGCTCGACGCAGGGCTTAAACTCACAAACCACGAGATCATGACCTGAGCCAAAGTCGGATGCTCAACCGACTGAGCCACCCAGGCGCCCCTGTATTTCTCATTTTTAAATTAATTTCTGCTCTCAGATTTTGCTGTAGCTTTATGAACCTGCATATTAAGTATCTGTTATTCTTTATGAAAGATTTAGGCCAGTGTTTCCCAAGTGCTTCATAGAATTCTACATCCATGGATTTGATGGAACAATGAATCTGGAAAATATTGCATACTGTAGTATCCTCTTAGATATTTATGATAATATCATGGGAAGTCTTACAGTAAAAAGTCTTTAAATTTCATTTTTCAAGCTTACCTGACCCAAGAAACCTTTATTCATTCATAAGTCTTATTAAACCCTAAATATCAATAGAAATCTCTTGGAAGAATAGTGGTCAAGATCAGTAATTCTTATTCCTGGTTGTTCATTACTTAGGGCTTAAACTAATTCAGAATCTCACAAGATGGGGCTTAAGTATCTGGGTCTTTTAAAAACTTCTGAGCTATTTCTGGTGAAGAGCCAGGATTGAGCACCAACCATTGATCTAGAAACCAGGGGTTGGCAAACTATGTTTCATTAGCCAAATCCAGCCCACTGCCTGCTTTTGTATACCTCACAAGCTAAGAATGGTTTCACATTTTTAAGTAGTTGAAAAAATGAAAAGATATTATTGAAATATTCCATTGAAAATGATAAGAAATTCAAATTTCAGTGTCCATAAATAATGATCTATTAGAACACGGCCACACCCATTCACTTATACATTGTCTGTGGCTGCTTTTGCACTTCGAGTAGTTGCAACAGAGACTGGCTTCTCAAATTTAAAATATTTATCTGGCCTTTTAGAGGAAATGTTTGCCAACCCCTAATCTGGAGCAGTGGATCTCAAAATGCTGACCAGCAGCATCAACATCTGGGAACTTGACAGAACTGCAGATTATCAGACCTTACCCCGGATCCACTGAGTCAACAGGTGATGATGGTGCATGCTAAAGTGTGGGAACCATTTTTTTCAGTCTCTGCAGTGTTAGGACTCCTTTTTGAAAGGCTTATAATAGAGATTTTCTACTTTGTCATCCTCATCTGTTGAAATGGAGGGTGGGTCTGGACGTCTAAGGTCTTCATTGCCTAGTGGAATAGGGTACATAGCTATCACTTGTGAAACTTGAACAACAAAGATGCAGTGTTGTCACAGGGCTTAGCATATGGTAAGGATTCAGTATACATTTGTTGGATGCATGAAGCAGATTTCTTAAATGTCAATTTATATGGAAAAGAATAAAAATTGTGCATATTATCTTCACTCTGAAGCTATAATATCTTCAGGTTTCTCTCAGTGGTATTTTATCCTGCTTGCCTAGGCTGCACTTAAAGTAACTAAGGGATTAGAAACCAGTTGCTTTCAGCTCGGCAGATTGGTGTGAGGGGTAGCACATGGCTGGAGGGGTGGTGGCTGGCGGGGGGGTGGGGGGGGAGGGAGTTGAAGGATAGAAGAACATTTAGGCAAAGTCTAGACAACAGTATATTCTGAAGGAGAGAAGGGAAGCTTTCTTCCCCTGTAGGATGGCAAAACCAGGATCAGCAGAAGGAGCAGTGGGCCTGACAAGGTTTTGTGATCCCCAGGAAGTCTAGAGTGCATTTGTGAAGAGTGAGTCGTCAAATGCTGAA